ATTAAATAAATTAAATATTTTTAATAAGGGCGAATATTTAATTTTTTTCATTAATTAAATGAATTAAATAGATTGAATAAATTAAATATTTTTAATAAGGGCGAATATTTAACTATTTAATTTATTAAATGAATTAAACAAATTAAATACATTAAATATTAATTAATACCTGAATTTGCTAAGGCTCGAATTAAATAAATTAATAAATTAAATATTTTTAATAAGGGCGGATATTTAAATAAGGGCGAATATTTAATTTATTTAATAGTTAATTAATTAACTATAAATATATATATTTCTATTTTATTGGTGTAGATTCATACTAAGAGTCAATAATCGCATTATACTGATTATTCCCTCGTACGGGGGTGGGGGGGGCAATGACGTACGGTCCGCGACGTCGAACGTTTTCGTTTATTTAACACATCTTGGGTTGCTCCTGTCGCTGTCGCTGGTTCAAGTTTTTTCCAAGAACAGGCAGCATGGCTGCCCTAAGTGGTTGCTGTGCGGTCTGCCTCGTTTACATCCTGTTACTTCGTTTTTCGGGTTTCCAGGATGTTGACTGTTTAGATGGTCATTTGCAGCAGTGGTTTCGTGTTGACCCTGACTTCATAGACTCTCTGTTGCAAACCTGGTGTTTGTCCGTAGGAGGGGATCCCCTGGCGGCCGAAGTGCTGTCCACGGTGTGCATCGATGACCGGTGGTTTTTACACGTAGATGTTTTAGATCAACATGTACCTCTACTGTCTCTGCTATGGTGGACGAAGTTTGAACACCTCTTGGAGAAGCGGGAGCATGCCTTAAACACCTGTTGAACACCTGTTTGAACACCTGTTGTTTCAAGTATCCTGGGATGCTGACGGGAAAATCGTCCGAAGGCAACGCTTGGCTAGACAAGTTCGATTTTGTGTTTCGCTGTAGCGAAATGACAAAATGCCTTCAAACACCACCGAAAAAAAGTGTAAATTTCATGGCTAGTTTGTGAGAATGAGTATTTCGCTACAGTGAAACGCAAATTTTGCTTGAAAACCATTGGAAATGAGACGTGCAAAACTTGTTTCTACTTCGTTGAATGTGCCGAAACGCAGGTTTTGAGAGGTTTTCGAACCCTGTGGTTGAATGTTGACGACTAAAAACAGCAAAAACGCAGGCGCAGTTGTCAGCCCGGCGGGTTATGTGTGTACTCATTAGGTTTATTGTATGTTCATTAGGTCTATATATATATAGACATTGGGATGCAAGGCCACAGAAGATTGGTCTGCAGGTTCTTCGTCATGGTCGTTGGCGGAATGTTGGGGGTGGCCCACCCGGCGACCCCAAAGGACTGGTGAAGGGGCCAAACTCCAAACAGTCTTGGAACACGGATGTTCAAAGGAGATACCATGATATAACAGGGCAAAGGTACATAGCAAAGGATCCACTAATTGCCAAATTCTAATTCAATCAACATCACATCCGGCAAGCTACCCGATCTTTGGCTTTATCATATCTCCTCACGCGATTCACGCGATCTCTCTCTTCGGGGATGCCGATCGACCCGAGCGCGAGTTTGTCAAGGGGGTTGTTTGACCAAGATACCCACATCTACTCTTCAGGATTGACAGGGGCTGACCATACATAGTAGGATTTTGTCCGTCCATCCCCCGTTCCTATAGCTGCCATGAGTTTTGTTCAGTACTCACGCCTGATCACATGCTGGCTGTGTCTCTTTCTGCGTCCTGCGCAGACCAAGAGCAAGAGGGAGCTCATCGAATACTTGATGCAGACAGCGCCCAGAGACATGCTAGAGACTGGAGCTGCATGCTTCGGATGTCGGGGGGGAAATAACTCCTGTTGTGAAAGATCAAGCTTTGCACAAGCAGCACCACACCTTTTAGCTTGTCATCCTGAAGGTAGGAGAACACCAACATGTGCTCGTGGAAATGAAAAAAAGGTGAGGAGGAAACCAAAATGCCATGTGTGTCAATCGGGTTGAGAGCCATGCGGCTTCACGACCTTGTCAAAAATGATGTGGATCCCCAATACTGCGAAGGAGAGTTAACCCTACAGAGCAAAATTCCAGAGAGCAAAACGTCGAGACGCAACACGCCAAGTTTGCCGCTCCTAATCAGGACTCCCATATGTATCCATATGTATATTAATGTATATATATAGAGTGTTGGCCTTGCACCTGGCATGGCGTCAAAGACAAGACTTTTCCAACCTTCCAACGTTTTTCAGCCTTACAGTGTTCCTCTTGAAATTCGGATTTCGATTCGGGTGAACACTCACGCGCGGGCGTGGTCCATGGGTCAGATGTGCCAAGGCACGGCTGCGACTCTTGGGGACCGTGAAAAATGCGGTGAAGTCGAAGACCCAAGCTGAGATGCTGGAGGCGGTGAAGGAGAAACTCTGCGTTGCTATAACCCAGATGCTCGGGGTCCTTGTGGTTTCGGTTGGCGAACAGACCCAGTAGATCGAGGCGGTGAAGGAGAAGTTGCGCAGAATTCGCAGAATTCTGCGTTGTTCAAACCATGTTTGGATGGGGAGACCCAACAATCAGATGTTGGTCGGATATGATTGAGGAGGCGAATGTCACATGTCACGAAAGCTACTGTAGCATGCTAGCTGAGTTTTTCTTTGATGTAAACCGTGGTTTGGTGTTAATGGTGGTTGGCAACAACCGTGGCTGGGTGACTTGGTGCAAACGGTTCTGCTGACGCCGCTGCTGCTGGCTGCTGGCTGCTTGCTGCTGGCTTGATGCTTGCTTGATGCCTGCTTGCTGCTTACTTGCTTGCTTGCTTGCGTGCTTGCTTGCTTGCTTGCATGCTTGCGTTGCGTTGCGTTCCGTTGCGTTGCGTGTTTTGTTTTGTGTTGCGTTGCTTTGTTGCGTTGCTTTGTTGCTTGCTTTGTTGCTTTGTGCTTGCCTTGTGGCTTGCTTTGTTGCTTGCTTTGTTGCTTGCTTTGTTGCTTGCTTTTGTTGCTTGCTTTTGTTGCTTGCTTTTGTTGCCTGCTTTTGTTGCCTGCTTTTGTTGCCTGCTTAGTTGCTTGCTTAGTTGCTTGCTTTCTTGCTTTGTTGCTTGCTGTGTTGCTTGCCGTGTTGTTTGCCGTGTTGCTTGCCGCGTTGCTTGCCGCGTTGCTTGCCGCGTTGCTTGCCGCGTTGCTTGCCGTGTTGCTTGCCGTGTTGCTTGCCGTGTTGCTTGCCG